AAGGTCAAGGGTTCGAATCCTCATACCAGCCAGTTGCCATAAATAAATAAATAAATAAATAAATAAATAAATAAATAAATACAGACATACAATAACATAACATAACATAACATAACATAACATAAAACATAACATAACATAACATAACATAAAACATAACATAACATAACATAACATAACATCATAACATAACAATCATGACCAGCTGGGGTGCTTGCTGAAGGCAAAGGGGACTCAGAAGAAGGAGTGGGAGAAGGTAGTTATAAATACCTGCTATGACCATGTGACCAGCTATAGCAATGGAGACTGTAATTGCCATCAGTGCATCTTCCCTAGTTTGTTAAGAATGTATTTTTGTGTATAAATACACATATCAAGCAAATATCTTTGTGTCCTTTCCTCTCTTATTCCTTTATCATGTAACATAAGATGTACTGACTTTATATCAGTATTTAAATATTAATTTTACATCATAGAATTTAAGTTATACAGGCTGGCCCGGTGGCGCACTGGAGAGTGCGCTGCCTGGGAGTGCGGCGGCGCTCCCGCCGAGGGTTCGGATCCCATGTGGTTCCTGCTCACTGGTTGAGCACGGTGCAGGTGCAACACCGAGGGTTGCGATCCTGTTACCGGTCAGTAAAAAAGACAAAAAGGAAAAAAAAAAAAAGAATTTAAGTTATAGGGTATCAAGGAGAAGAGTAAACATCACTCAAGGGCTTTACCTACTCTTCTGGGGAAGAAATTATAGTGCATTTTTTATTGTCCATAGTATAGTTGTATTATGTCAGGCAGAACTATGACCTTTTTCTTGTCCTTTTATGGTTTAAGGAGACATGTATGGGAGCCAAGTTGACAAAAGGTGGGGTGGACTTGGATAATTAATTTTAGTGTCAACTTGACTGGATTAAGGGCTACCCAGATAGCTGGTAAGGCATTATTGTTTCTGGAAGAGATTGGCATGTGAGTCAGTGGACTGAACAAGGAAGATCTGCCCTTCATGAGGTTGGCACCATCCAGTTGGATGAGGGCCCAGACGGAACTAAAAGGCAGAGGAAAGGCAAATTTTCTATCTCTTCTGGAACTGGGACACCCATCTTTTCCCACCTTTTGACAACAGCACTCCAGGTTCTCGGGCCTTCAAACTCCAGCACCAGCAGTTCCCCAGGTTTTCAGGACTTCAGCCTTGGACTGAGAGTTATACCATCAGCTCCTCTGGTTCTCCAGCTTGCAGATGACATGTCGTGGGACTTCTCAGCCTCTGTAATTATGAGAGCCAATTCCCATAATAAATCCCCTCTCATCTGTCTTTCTTTATGTATCCTATTGGCTCTATTTCTCTGGAGAACCCTGGCTAATACAGCTACTTTAATTTGTCAAGTTGAAAAAATAAATCCAGTTGGATTCAGTTTGGAAAATGTATAAAATCAGCAGGTTAATTTCAGAGTTCCTTTTGGGGACATGGCATATTTCTATATTTATTCAGTTCTTCCTTCATCACATTCAGTAAAATTTTAAGTTGACTAGACATGTGATAATGTATTCCTCACCTGTAATACTGGGATAAACATTCTTTTACAAAAATTTTTTTAAAATTTTACTTCTCAATATACCTTGTAGTTGATTTTCATGCCCCTTTACCCATTCCTCTCTATCCCCTCCCTTCCCCCCAACATCATATCTGTTCACTTGACTTAAAAAGCTCAAAGAATTTTTGTGATTGGTGTGTCTTCTCCCCCCCCCTTTATTTGTCTGTGTGTTTATTTATTTATTTATTTTTAGCTCCCACAAATAAGTGAGAACATGTGGTATTTCTCTTTCTGTGCCTGACTTGTTTCACTTAATATAATTTTCTCTAAGTCCATCCATGTTGTTGCAAATGGTAATATTTAGTTCTTTTTTATAGCGGACTAGTACTCCATTGTGTAGATATGCCACATTTTCCGTATCCACTCATCTGATGATGGACATTTGGGCTGTATAGCATACATTATACGAAGTTATACGAGGTGTTTACAAGTTGAAGGAGGTA